CTTTCAGTCTGGTGATTTGGCCACAGCACTCAATCTGCCTCTAAATAATGAGTTACCTAAAGCCGGTCAAGTAATTTTAAGTTGTAAATCACCAAATCCAAGGCATCATTAGCGTCCATTTGAAACTGCACAGAGAGATTTTTTTTTTTTAGTAGGCAATGTATAGTTCCCCAGTGGTGCCAAGACTCTGTGTACATTTTCTGTCCTTTTTCTTAAAAAAAAAAAAATCAGTATGGCAAGATGTTTTAATAACCTCAATGGATGTTTTTAGTATGACCTAAGAGGCTTGTTCCCAGAAATTTCTCTAATACCATGTTGGGGGGCAGCTTGACTGACTTATTTATTGATAGGTGGATTGCCACTGAGTTTGGAGGACAAGGCGCTCCTGAGTCACTGCTGAGCCTGAGGTCAGTGCCCTGTTACATGAGATGTAGGTGTGCCAGTCAGCAAGAAGACCGGGTCCCAGGCCAGTCTGAAATCTTATGGGTGGCCTTGCAGTGGATGATTTTTTTTTAAAGGGGGAGAGAGAAACGCTTAGTTACTGTAAATCATAGATGGCAAAGGCCTTTAGAGGCAATGCTTGCAAAAGTTGGGGGGTGTTAGGGTGTGTCTGTGACAGGAGTGAATGAGCAAGACTTAGCTTTTATTGACAAATAGAAAAAACAGACTCACTGTTGCTGTTTTAACTGAAAATACTTGGGCAAGTACAATCCCGCTTGCCTAAAAATACTTGGTTGATCTCAGACCGAAAAGGAAAATCCAGATAAGATAGCAGACTCCCTTTGTAGAGAAGGTAGGGCAATGGGAGGCTTCCGGGGCCCTTCTGGGAGATCCCTCTCCCCATGTTCCCCTCCTCACTTTTGGGCCTGACTCCAAATCCAAGAGGAAATGTCCCCATCCTGTCCTTCTAAAGCCACCAGGATCTGCTGCCCTGACAGAAGCTGCAGTCCTACCCCACCCCCAACGACGGCCCGAAGACTGGCGACAAATAGGACCCCCAAACTGAAGATGTAGCACAACCTTTGACCACTAGATGTCTCTGAGAAAGCGATGACCCGTGTAACCTGGCTTGTCGTCCTTCACAGCGATGGACTTGTTGCGCTGGCCTGGGGAGCCAGCTCTGGTGCAGGCCACCGTGTTAAAATCTCCACTCACCGCACGCCCGTGGGGCGCCAGGCTCGGAGGGGGATGGGCCAGGCGGTGGCCGACCCTTAGACAGTGCTGGCTTGTTACACCACGAATCAGTCTGCGCATTGTCAGGCTTTCACCTCCCACCCCACTTCCTAACCAAGCAGGAGGGGAGCATCCCTCAGTCAAGGTCCCCAGGTGGGAAGCGCACAGCCCCTCAAACTTCACCCAGCGACTGACTGGCCGGGTCCAGGACTCAAAAACGCCAGCTCCAAGACCCCCGCAGGCCGGGATCCCAGCCCCCTACCCCCCTTTGCCCCACTCACTCTCCCCCGCCCACATCCCCGCCCCCTCTTTGCCCCACTCATTCCTCCCGCCCCCCACGCCCCCTCCCCCGCGTTTGCTTCTGCACTGACCAAGGGGCCAGAGTCTTAACGCGTGGAAGGGCAGAAAGGGACTTTCCCCAGTCCTGTTCTCTTCTGTTCTGTGGGATATTTTCCGGGAAAATGAGCAAATTCCAGCTGGGGGGGGGGGGCATCCTGGGGCACAATTGGTTCTGCCCCCAGAATTTCCGGACACAAAAATTCCAGCGGGGGGGGGGGGAGTAAAAGTCAGGTGTGGAGGGGGCGCAGAGGGGGCGAGCAGGAAGCAGCCAAGTTGAACTCCCAGCCTTTATCAACCAATTCCTCACCAATGAAAGAAAGCTGCACTGGCAGATTCGAGCCACACGCGGTAGTGTGTAGCAATTAGTAGGTAAAATGCTGACTGAAGTGCTAAAACATGAAATATTATTGTAGCCAAGGTCAAAAATGCTTCAGTTTTCTTTAGCAATTTGGGGGGAAGGGAAGCCCAGGGGTGTGCAGAGATATTTGCATTTTTGAAATGGTTGCCTCCTTTCTTCAAACTGTACTTTTTTTCTATTTTTGATCCTGTTTATTGTAGTCCAAGCTGCCTAATTATGTCATTGCTGGATTTTGCAACTAACGTAATCCTCTTGATCCTTTATGAAATGATTCACAGGCACTGAATAACGTGTCGTCCCCCCCCCCTTGAGGGGAAGAGAATGATTTTTAATCTTTTACCTTTTAAATATATCAAATATTTATCCTAAAACAGAGTTGGATTTGGGGGCTAATAAAGCAGTGGGAGGGTCGATTTGCGCACAGAGGTTTGCATGTATCAGGACCACAAAAGCCCAGAAACAGCAGATCATATAAACATGCACTGCCCCCCCTTCCTGCACAGCGAGCCCCAGCTACGAGCTTTTTTTATAGATAAATAAAGCAGTTGCTTCCATGATTATAACTGTCCTGAATGGATTGTCTTCTAACATTCAATCTGTTTATGAGTATTTACTTTACATTAGCCCAGGGACCCTGCACTGCAGGAGTTTGCCTCGTTCCCCTGGGTGTTGGTGTCTCAAGTCTTACATCTGCTCTGTGATTGATGGAGCCTTGAATCCACGTTATTACTCTCTCACAAGCAGAAATCAAACAGGCTATTAACTACATTACTTCAAAGAACTGTTTCAATACAATCTCCTTATCTTAATTGAAACTTTCTTTGTATGGATATTTGCTACACAGATAATTTACAGGCGCCTATCAAGGAAAGGTAAAATAGAGAGGTTGTGGGTTTTTTTTTTTTTTTTTTTTTCTCTTTTTTTTTTTTTTTTTCAGAACCGGGGATTGAACTCACAAATTTTTTTGGAAGGGGGGAGTACAGTTATTATGATCTGTAATTTTTAAAGCCATTCACAGTGCACAAGTAAGATTTGATTTATTAGATTTACTGTATTCCTGGGGGTGGTGCTCAGGCTGCTAGAAAAGGAGGGGAGGCAGCCCCTGGTAGTCACTTTTGAAATTTAGCCTTCATCTGATTACAAGAATGTAGATATTCAAAACTATTCAGGCCTAGGTCCCTGTGATTGGTAACATCTCAACAATCTTATCAGAGAGATCAGGAGCATGCAGCCTGGTGAGTCCCTACCGTGAAGAGACTCAGAAGCAGGGCTTGTAATTAGATGAAGCCAGTTACAGACACTTCAGACGCCCAGCGCCCAAGCCAGCAGAAGTTGCTTAGAGGCTGCAAGGAGCTGTGTATTTTTTAAGAGGGAGATTTAATACACAACCAAGGGACACCCTCAGGCGTTCTGCTGTGGCCTCCTGCGTAAGTGCCGCTGCGCTGGTCACACAGGAAACTGACTCGGTCACCTCAAATAAGATCTTGTCAAAATACTGCAACTCAAGATTTTTAATATAGGATTTTAAAAACTGAATATATATATATATATATATATATATATATATATATATATATATGCAGGACAGGGACTAACAGAAACCTGAAGCATATTTCATGTTATTTTTAAAAAAATATGTAAAATGCCCTTCAGTCAACTCCATTCATATGTTAAAAATGAGCAAAATGGGTTATTCTAATCAAACGTCTGCAGTATGCATCACAAAGTTAAAAAGGGAGAGAGCTGTAATTTCTCTTTGTAACCCATGTTTATAAAATAGGAAGATCAGATGAAATTTCAAGGAAGATAATTAAAGAGTGATGCGCAAGCCCTAATTTGGCTAATGCAAAGATGGGAGGCTGTGAATTGCTACATTGTTGTCCTCCACGGTGCAGAGTTGTGCTATTACTTTAAATTATTAAAATAGTTTTCCACAGCTTCCAAGAACACTGGCTCTTTGGCATGGGCTTTTATTACTTATTGTAATTGGAGGATCTGCCATTTTCTTTCGTTTATCTGTGTGTGTACAGAAACGAGATAGATCTTGCCTTTTATTACTTCCCCATGTTCTGAATCAAAAATGTGGTTTAGATAATGTTAAGTGCCCTAATTCTTACTGCAGCGGACGCAGACGTTATGCAAAGGCATAAAAATACACACAGAGGGTCTGTGCACCTCCAGTCACTGAATACGAGGCATTGGTGCTCTGTCGGCTGTATGAACTTCAGCCATGTGAATATAATTTTCATTAAAGTAATCCTGTTTCAACTAGATGCTGGGACTAGAGGTGAAACGTTGCGAAAGCGTTAAAAATAGCTTACTAGTAATTTCAACATCCTGTAATTTTATCACAGATCAAGTTTCAACTGTCATACTATACAGACCTTATTCCCCGTATAGTACATGTTTACTTTTTTAGCATGCCAGACCCACTTTGGAAAGACTGGTGCCAATATAATAAAATAGCGCGGGGGGGGGGGGTGTGCTGCGAGAGGGAGAGGAGAGCGGGGAAGGGGTGGGAACGCGGGGGAGCGAGCACACCATTTTACATCAACACTGCGAAAATGCAATCGAGCCTGGCGGAGGACCGGCAGCTGGGTCGGAGCGAGCGAGCGAGCTGGGGCTGTGCAGGCTGTGCCTGCTCCCCGTTCTGTCGCTCTTAAGTTTCTCTGTGTTTGCATAATAGCCGTGCATGCAAACCTCGCAATGCTCCAGGGCTCCAGAACAATAAATATACACATTTAAAGCCTTTATTGTCTTACGGTTCATGCCCCCGGTTTTCAACAGCTTAATTTCTGGTTGTATTTAACTAGTTTGCAAATGGATTTTTTCAGTTTCAAACTATTATCGAGGAAGCGCCCTCCCTTTTCTGGCGGGGGAGGAGAGGGGGTGGGGTAGGAGTCGGTATATTATTCCTGTAGCGCTGGGTTATATAAACACATTATCATTTGAGAGCGCCCTTGGCGTCCATCAGCATTGTAAACACGTCCTAGTGTACATACTTCAAAATTAAAGAATGCACACGCAGAACCGGGAGCCTGGATTCATATTCCGAGCAGACTCGCTGCCCGCATTTATTGATTTATCATGCATCGTTTATTGTTCCCGTCCCTAAATGCAGTCGCTGTCCGTTCAATATTGTTTGCAAAATCCCGAGATGTGTGCGCACTGCTCACTTGTCTTTCTGTTCCTCTCCTTCTCCTTCTTCTTTTTTGCTGAGTATTTTTTTTGCGAAGCGAACAAATGCATTAATATTTATATGTTTATATAATCGATAACCCACTTTTCCCTCCCATGTAAATAGGCATCAAAAGATAATTTAACAGATTACTTCTCGAAAACATGGCAGTGAGGAAGCGTAATTGAACTATCAAACAAATCTACATGTCTAATAACAGCAAATCTGCTAAGGAGCATTAGAAAGAGGAGCAGCGCCCCGGAATCTCTGCAGGAAATGTTCTTTATATTAGACATATACACGTAGGTCCTGTCAGATGCACAGAGAAGCTCGCCCGCCCTCGTCTCCTACAAAAATCGCATCGGACGAAACTCTCAGATCGGGGCATTTAGAAAGAAAGAGAAGACCTTTCCGCGTAATTCCTGAGTGGATTTCATTTTTGCAGCTCTTCCTTTCTGTTTCCTGCCTTGATCCATTCTTTTCCCGCCGAGGTCGGAGGGAGTCTTTCTCCTGATTATGAATTTCGTCAGCCCATGTTTGGCAGGAAACCCACTCAGTTGTGACAGGAGCTGAAAACTGAGTCTTCGGAGAAATATTAGGTCACATTTTCAATCATTTTGGTGCTGAAGGGAAGGCAGGAGCTCAGTTTTATATTGAGACACTCCGCGGACTGAAGGCGCAGAATGCTTTTCCCTGCCAGGACCTGATGCAATCCATTCAAGCCAACAAGTTTGGAGAGAATGTTGAGTTCAATCAATTCAGAACGTCGAGATGGAGCCCAAGTCACTCCAGGTATTTCGCTGTCCTCCGCTCCTCCGCTCCCAGCACCCCCCGGCACCCCTCAGCCCCGCAGCTCACCCACACCTCTGCCCCCACCCACACCCCCCACAAACTTTTCACCAAACTTTTACCCTCCGCATCCCCCCAAATCATTTTTATTGTTTAAAAAAATCTCCGCACTGATCATACATACATAATGTGATTTTGCCGCCTCCGATGGGGAGGTGGGGAGGGGTGGCGGTGGGGGGCACTGGGTTTCTTTTCTTTTTCTTTTTCTTTCTTTTTTTTTTTTTTTTCTTTTTTTAAGGGAGGCAGAAAAATTGTGAGATCTATGATTTTCCACCCAGCGATCTATCCGTGGGCTCGTCTGCGTTACGAGTGTGGATGTCGGTGTGTAAATGTGTCTGGGAATAGATATTTGTGTTCTGATGGCTACATTATTGATTTGGTGCTTTCTTTCCCCCTGCAGTGGGTCGGCTCACCGTGTGGCCTGCACGGACCTTACATTTTCTACAAGGCTTTTCAATTCCACCTTGAAGGCAAACCAAGAATTTTGTCCCTTGGCGACTTTTTCTTTGTAAGATGTACGCCAAAGGATCCGATTTGCATAGCGGAGCTCCAGCTGTTGTGGGAAGAAAGGACCAGCCGGCAACTTTTATCCAGCTCTAAACTTTATTTCCTCCCCGAAGACACTCCCCAGGGCAGAAATAGCGACCACGGCGAGGTGGTAAACCTATCTCTCTCTCTCTCCCTTCTTTCTTCATTATGTCCCCCCCTAGTAATGCTTATTACAGGGCGAGCTTGAAAATACTGTATTCACTTCTGCAGGCGAGCAGGATCGACTCCTTTTTAAAGGGGTAGCGCCACTCGCTGGGGCTCGAGTATTTTGCCATTGTCAGAGTTTGCCTGTCAGCTTTACAAAGGGGATCCAACATGCTGATTTTAGTCAAGATCAAATAACTTGTTGGAGAAGGGTTTTGTTCAGGATCTGTGTGTGTGTGTGTGTGTGTGTGTGTGTGTGTATGTGTGTGTGTGTGAGAGAGAGAGAGAAAGAGAGAGAGAGAGAGAGATCCTTTGCTTTCTTGCTGTTGCTGCTTGAATATCACATGCTTTTTATATTTTTTGCCTTTTGAAAATTAACCTTCGTGCCTGCTTGGGTCGGGACTGGGTGGATTTCTCTCGGTGGGTTTCGATATTGTTCACTTTTTTGTGTTTTAAAGTAAGTATCTGATATGTTTAAGAGGGCGGAAATTACGAAATGGAGGCAGAATGAGATCAAAAGCTATTGAGTTGGCAGAGACGTGTTGAATAAAGTGATAAATGACAGGTACTGGATAATACATTCAAATAACTTGCAGATCTGCCCGGGCGGATTTCAAAGCGGTCGCGTAACCGGCACAAACACGTTAAGCATTAACAACTATCTCTCGCCCACTCCCCTCCCCCGACGGGCCCTCTGAGGGTGCAGTTTGCAATCACCCGGCGCGTGTGGACG